TGTCTAGTTTTGTATTTTGAGTGAGAGTTTTCAGAAATCCTGTGACAGGTAAAGGTGTTGTGTGTAAGCAGCTGGAAAAACTGCAGGATTAATAAACAAGACACTAAAACCACCAGTAGGTGTGCAAAGAGCAGTCTTAATGAGTGATTCACTGAGGCATCACTTTAAATGATTCATTCAGTATAGGTGATTCAGCTAGTGAGTGTTTAAGAATCACTGAATCATTGACTCAATTGATTCATTCAGAAACAGATTCTTTCAGGAAAGAAACAGGTTTTTTTAAACTATTTTCATTGGTGAAACAGAAAAACACACAATATTGAGAATTAAACAGAATTCACTTAATATGAACTTGTTGGTTAAACTCAAATAAACTTAAATAATTCATCCACAATAGAAATATGCATGATTGATTCATTTGAGAGCAGCACGGTGACGCAGTGGTGTCGCTGAACTGATCAACTACACTGGCCGTAGTGTATGAGTGTGTGGGGAAAAGTGTGTATGGGTGTTTCCCAGCACTGGGTTGCAGCTGGAAAGGCATCCGCTGTGATAAGCATATGCTGGAATAGTTGGCGGTTGATTCCTCTGTGGCGACCCCTGATAAATAAAGCGACTAAGCTGAAGGAAAATGAATGATTCATTTGGTTCAATAATTGAGTCAAATGATTCATTCAGAACTGATTCATTCAGGAGCACTCAGTTAAGTGTTGCTCTGAGAAACACAAATGATTGAGTTTTTATTGAGTTATATCTGTTGTAAATGATCAGTATTGTGTGTGAAATGTAAAGTAGCTCCCGCAGTGTGAACTCTAGAGTAGAATAACTGACGTGTGCTGATATTCAGGATAACGTCACTCTCGCTTGTGTGATATTACTGAACTATGACTATACAGAGCCTGTAGCATGCTGTTGTCTTTTGAGTGCACTTGTTTCACCCATTAATGCTGTCATCATCTGTGTAGTGTGGGGATCTAACATGTCACGTCTGCTTAAACACACTCGTTAATCGTGTCTCTGTTCAGCTCCAGTGTTCCTCTGAGGGTGTGTGTAGAGCTGGAGGATATCATCATCAGCCTGAGAGAAAAACAAAACAAGTGTGAGATGAGCTCGCTAATATAGTCAAGCAGACGAGTGTGTGTGTGTGTGTGTGTGTGTGTGTGTGTGTGTGTGTGTGTGTGTGTGTGTGTTCATTCAGCAGACAGAATGAAGTATGATCGGAATGTGTTTGCAATAATATGCCGAAGCGCTTGACAAAGGTGATGAATAAACATGAGTCATTAGCATATAAATGAGCTGTAGATCTTCAATAAGCTGCCGCTGTGCATGCTCATCATTCATAAATCCAGCTGGCCTCTGATTGGCTGTCGGAGGCGGCGACGGGTCATGTGGGTGTCTGAAGGAGCTGCGGGGCGTCGCTCAGTGTTTTAGGGAGATTGTTTCAGTGGGCGGGGCTTACTGCAGGTGATTAGCCTATCAGAAGTAGATCAATGGTTGCTGTGTTTGGGGTATAGTAAGTGTGTGATGTTTTTAATATCAGCAGAATGTGTGTGATTGTCTTCTTGTAGATTTCTTGTATTCATAAGCTGCTGTGATCATGTGACTTGATCATAAACGTGACCCTGTTGAAAAGAAGTGCACTTAACCTGTAGTGTGCAATTAATGCAGTATTAATTAAATAAAAATACATTTTTCAAGCATTTAAAACACTTTTAAACAGTGTATTGTGCAATAATATCACATTAATAGTGTGGAAATGTATTATTTTTAATTGTTTGGTTAATTTACAGCACACTGGTTTTGATGTGTTGACTAAAGCACATGTAAAAGCTTGATTATTTAACTGTAATGTGTTTTTCAATATATTAAATTTAATATATTTGAGATGCATTGAATCTGCAACATCATCAATATTAATATATTTAAATAAATAACATGCATATTCCAATAGAAATGACATGAATGTGTGTTTCAGATGATTAAAGTAGCTTGCAGATCATTCAGCCATATTTTAAAGACAACTGCAGATTTATGATGGCATGCTGAAATAAATAACACATATACAGATGAACTGCATTACAAACTTAATAACTAAATAAATGTTGTCTCATTTTCTTAACATTTGAAAGAAAAGGATGATGGAAAAGTGACTTCATGCTTAAAATTGAAAGAAAACTCAATCTGCCAATGGCCTCAGAAATCTAATTAAATGATAACAAGTCTATTTTAGATCCATTCATATTCATAATTCTCTAAACTCACTCATTTTCTGTTATCTCGTCCTGCTGCAGTGTGAAGTGAGTCAGAAACATTCAGCTAATGGCATTAATATATGAGTTTAAACTGTAATGCATTGCATATAATATCAGTGCATTGCAGACAAGATGCAGTTCAGTGTCTGATAGCATCACACTCCACTATACTGAGATTATCTGCTACATTCCCACAGATGGACTGCTGTATTTCTCTGTGTGTGTCTATGAGAGTGCCCATTCATTTTCCTTCAGCTTAGCTTTCCCTTATTTATCAGGGGTTACCACAGTGGAATGAACCACTAACTATTCCAGCATATGTTTTACACAGCGAATGCCCTTCCAGCTGCAACCCAGGACTGGAAAACACCCATACACACTCATACACACACATACACTGGTGCCAGTGTAGTTGATCAGTTCCCCTATAGCGCATGTGTTTGGACTGTGGGGGAAACCGGAGCACCCGAAGGAAACCCACACCAACACGGGGAGAACATGCAAACTCCACACAGAAACACCAACTGACCCAGCCGAGACTCAAACCAGAGACCTGAGTGCTGTGAGTCCACAGTGCTAACCACTGAGCCACCGTGCCGCCTCATGTCCGCATTCTGTCTGAGTGAGTGAACATCTGCACTTCAGCAGGGCTCAGCTCAGCACAGAGAGCTCCAGATGTTGGCATTACTCTTCAGTATAACACACATCAGTCTCCGAGCCGTCAGCTGACTCTGTATTCTCTCACACTCCTCTGCAGTCAGCATGTAGAGCTCTGCTGTGAAGATGAAGTCTGTCCGTCAGCGCTGATCTGCTTTTCTCACACTCTGAATGAGCTTTTGTTGCTCTCAGGCTTTTGAGTTCAGTGAAGGAGAAACTATTCAATTCAGTTCACCTGCAGCAGTGAATGAGGACAAACCCCACAGAGAATGAGTGAAGATCAGGAGGAATATCCACATCTCACACTCACTCTGCATCTATAGACGACAGACTACAGCATGATTGTGCTGTTCATGTAAAGCTGAATGCACTCTTTACATATTTATACAGTCCAGACCACAGAGGAAACATGTGGAAGCTGCTTAATCGTATAGAGAAGGGCTTAATCAGCTGGAAGGGTGCACAGTGAGTTGAATAGGTGCTTAAACACACGGATGAGCAGTATTAATGAAGACATTAGTCTAATGTTTCAGCTGTTTGAGGGGAAATGATTCCAGTAAACATGAGTGTTGTTGACAGGGTGTCAGAGGGGTCTTAAAGACTTAAAATGTCCTGAAATTTAAGAAACAAAATTGTAGTCCTTCAATCAGGGTGTCCGCGGGCTCTCTAAAACAATTAAAATTGATCAAGCAATTATGAGAAAATTAAAGCCCTGAAAGGTGTTTAAAAATCCTAATCACATTTTTACCAGGTCTTAAATTTTGTTCAAGCGTCGTCCAAAGTGTTTGACTCCAAAAAAAAAAAAGCGTAAATATATTTATTTTCCTCCTGATATTAACAATGGCGTGCTCGACCCACACGGTTGGTTCGGGCCGGGATGCATCCGCCCAAGCTCTGGTTGTGCTCTATTCTTTTTTTTAATTACTAATGTTTATTAACTTTTTTTCCCAGAGTTGCGGCTGGAAGGGCATCCACTGCGTAAAAACTTGCTGGATAAGTTGGCGGTTCATTCCGCTGTGGCCACCCTGGATTAATAAAGGGAATAAGCCGACAAGAAAATGAATGAATGAATGAATGTTTATTAAGTAAAAGGTTTGATACTGATTAAAACCTGAAGTGTCGATGAAATCTTAAAATATTCAGAGAAAGTCTTTAAAAAGTCTTAAAACCGTACTAAAATTATCTTTAGGATTCCGGCATGTACCCTGTAAACAGTCTTAAAATCTCTGCAATATTGTGTTCATCAACGGCTTTTAATTTTTCTATATCCATGTAAAGCTGCGCAATCTGGCCAACATGCACCCAATCACCAACATGCACCCAATCACCAACATGCACCCAATCACCAACATGCACCCAATCACCAACATGCACCCAATCACCAACATGCACCCAATCACCAACATACACCCAATCACCAACATGCACCCAATCACCAACATGCACCCAATCGCCAACATGCACCCAATCACCAACATGCACCCAATCACCAACATGCACCCAATCACCAACATGCACCCAATCACCAACATGCACCCAATCACCAACATGCACCCAATCACCAACATGCACCCAATCACCAACATGCACCCAATCACCAACATGCACCCAATCACCAACATGCACCCAATCACCAACATGCACCCAATCACCAACATGCACCCAATCGCCAACATGCACCCAATCGCCAACATGCACCCAATCGCCAACATGCACCCAATCGCCAACATGCACCCAATCGCCAACATGCACCCAATCACCAACATGCACCCAATCACCAACATGCACCCAATCACCAACATGCACCCAATCACCAACATGCACCCAATCACCAACATGCACCCAATCACCAACATGCACCCAATCACCAACATGCACCCAAT